GCAGGAGCTTGCTGGCACGTTTATACCTCCATCCCCAGGTCAGGCTTTGCAACTTTCTGAGCAACAAAAGTTATTCTGGGGGAGAGCATAAAATCCCAGTAAATCATGAACACATGATGGGTTTAGGGCCATAACCAGTATGGCTACCGGAAAGATTTTTCACAGTCTAAACCAGCCCTAATATTCTGTCACTTTGTAGTGTATTCATTGTTGAATCATCATCCAACCTCTTTCAGCCTTGATGAATCTGAGTAAATACACCAAGGTCAACCAACCAACCAACCAACCAACCAACAAGAGCCGCAGTAGTGTCAATATTCATCTTGGATTAGATACATCCATGTAAGAACAGAATCCTTTCAATGAAAAGGAGTCTTAAAACACAAATGAAAGACCATTTAGCACTACAGCTTATTAAAAACAATCTTTACAGATAAGCTGTCACTGACAGAAGAGGGGAAAGTAGACCTATTTAAGTGTATGAATAAGCTGTGGCCCTCTTTGCTCTCAAGCTAATTGGAAATCAATTACAGTTCATTTGCTGGCACTTCCAGAAATGCCTGGGAACGTCTTGAGACAAACCTTTCTGGAGTGTCTAGCTTAGCATTTCTGGAGGGGGAACTAACTGATTTTCAATTAAATATGACTAACTAAAACTTTTACAGTTGCTAATCATTGCACTCTACACATGCTGCCCCCAAGACTCCCAAGACATTTTTAGAGATAGATATCAGCAAGAGTTAATTTAAAACTTTAAATTGCCATCCTCCCTATAAACCAGGAGTTCCAACAACCCAGTAACTTGACTGTCACATACTAGTCTTTGCTTAACCAGGATGCTTCAGCAACGTGGTGATGAATCACAAAAGGATCGCTTTTACTTCTTGTCATTTTTCCATTATAGCTGGACATTCACAAACACTAATACTGTCTAGAGCTTTGACAACATGTCCAGAAATCCATAGCAATTTCACAGATACTTTAAGAGAGCCAGTAACTCTTTAGTTTATGCAAGTAGTCCATCAGTAATGAACAGAGGAGAGAGACACTTCATCTTACCACTGATATATTTTCCTACACATCGACATTTCTGCACTGCATTGACAATTCTGACATAGGTTTCTTCCGTGAGTGACTTTGCAGAGCTATACATGACTACTTGCTATTGAATGTGGCTGAAGATGAGAATGGAATGACTGCAATGAGACAGAAAAGTGTCTATCACATTGTCAAAAACAATAAGGTGATTTACATAAGAGTATCTGTTATGCAAAGGTAGTAACAAATCCAATGTGTCTGTTCTACATTACAAGAATTGAATGGCAGTTATCACTTGGACACCTGGAGACACCAGGAATATTTCGGTCAAAGCTTGTATAATATAGTGCGTTTTTATATTGACTAAAAGAGACATGTTACATAGGTGATGGACTCCTTGTCAGATGAAACCCTAAATTCAACACAGAAGGGACAGCTGGCCAAATGTCAGGGATGACCGAGATGTAAGTACCAGAGAAAAACAGATTTACTTTGCTTTACTCTGAGTCGTGTTTTCTTCTTCCCTTTTCTGTTTTTAAATTTTTCCTTTATACAAAATGCCATGGTTCGGTGCACTTGAAAATTAAAGACTACCATGTAAGATCAAGGTTTGAGTCTGTCCATTCATGAGAGGAAATTAAAATCACCACTAAAAACCCCACTTTTTATTATACTGATAGAAACCACTCAGAAAATACCAGAAGGAAGAAATACACTTGGTATTTAATGTACTGTTTTGTCTTCTCATATGTTGCTGGTTAATTTAGTGAACAATGTACATATGCATAGTTAGACTTTAGTGGCCAGATTCACACCTTATTCACTCTGTCCCAGCCTCATCTGTACTGGATGGAACACTCAGGCAGGTAGGCACAAACTAGGTAATGACAGTCAATACAAGGAATTAGGAAGAAAGAAATGATTCTGAGGCTACTTAAACGATACGTGACAGTAACCTGAACACAATATTAGAACTGTGTAGTCTAAATACCTTGAAAAAATGCTTTCCTTTTTCAACCTGAACAATTCTGACATTCACTGCAGGTGTTGCCAGGGAATTACACTTGTCATGACTACAAGAAAAAGCTTACCAGCTAAACTTCCTAAAACTTTACTCCTATTGTTCTTCTCTAACCTACTTTTTCATTGATTTAATCAATCTCCCTTAAACACATATAAACTTAGGCTGCACTTCTTACAATGTTTTATAATAGCACATTTAATAAAGCTAATTTAAATCTGCTAATTTATAGAGATTTGCCAGAGGCTTTGAAACTTCAGAAAATGTGTAAACCTAACAGTTTAGCTGTGATAACAGCTCAGACAGTGGAAATTAAGTCCTTTGCATTACAATCATGTTCAAAGTGGATTCCCAGTTTTATTAAAAAAAAAAGTACATTTCAAAAGTATCAAAGAAAACCAAATTTACAAAGATATTTCAGGGCTAAGACCTTTATTGACCCAAGGTGGTCTTTGCAGATCCACGTCCCACAGTTCTTGAAGTTGGTCACTACTCTGCCTCAACATTGCAGCCTCAAACACATCTTGAGGTCTCTCATTTCAAGACTACATGGAATCTTTCCTACAGAGCTCGGAAAAAGAAAAGCAGAGTCATCATGCAACAGACCTCTGACAGAGCTTCGAGACATGCTTAGGGCCATTAATTCTAGGTCCCTAATTCTGATTGTCAGTCTCACAGCTGATACTAGATAGGTCTGCTACTGTCTGCTCTAATTTCTCCCTCTGGAAACCAAATGATAATGGATTATATGCCAGTGTGGGACTAGGCAGATTGGTTAGATTCCAAGCTGTATCCCAGGTGATAGCAAGAAGAAGCAGTGAAAAAAATAAGGTATTCAGCTCTTCACAGTGATGCATCAAGGAATTTCATTCTTCATTTTATACATAGCATTTAGATGTAACTAAGCAATTATTATCATCCCCTGATTTGCAAAAAATGTCAGCTTCCCTTGAATATATAGTTCAATCTTTTTTAGGGCTGCTGTTGCAGATCTCTCCTCAGATTGTTACATGGGAGAAGGCATTAAGACCTCCCCATGAAGGCTTGCAGGATTGCAGTCTCTTAAGGGATACAACCTTATCACTTTGAAGCTTTTTTTGGTATATGTAAAGTTCAAGTAATCTTTTTATTTCTTTTTCCCTGTTAATTGCATCAAAATATTCAGAAATGCAATCTGGAATAATTACTGGAAAAGGATTTTTTAGTCTTGTCTGCTTCAGTGCTCTTTCTCTTGGTTCTGTCATTGCTGTCCTTCTTGTTTTTGTGTACTGAGAAACAGAATTAAGGTGTACTGCAACCAGTGGACACTTGCATAAATAGGCTGCTTTGAATAAAACAGCACGATCGTGGGAGAGGAAAACCATATTCACCTTTCCTGCCCGAATGCTAACACATATACCAGGTTCATAAACTATTAAAGCATCGTATTTTTTACTCTGAGACCACTAAAATGCAAGGGCTGTGAATAGCAGAAAAATGTAAATAAACCGAATGGGGAGCATGAAAGCACATTGATTCCCAGGTTCTGAAACCACAGTCAAAATGGTTTATATTTGCAACTTATTTAAAGACATTTTGGCTAATATATTTGTAATGAATCTCCCTCACACGTTCTTATGCCTGAGAGCTTAAGTTTTCCAGGACTTCTGTAAAGCAACTTTTACTGCATCAGATTACTGCATTCCTTGATCTCGAGCAGTACACACTCCCAGCAGCCAGCCACACTCAAACACAAGGAACAGCACTAGGATTTCACAGCTCTGCAACAGATGCTCCAAAATAGATTTCTTTTTAAATTAATAAGATTGTGAACAAGAAAGCAACTATCATGATTTTGCCCTGCCTCCAGCATTTCACAACCGATGCTGACTTAAAATTAGCACAATCCTCTGCAATACTTGTATTTCCATGTGAAACTTCACAGCGAATTCCTGCAGAATTGTGAGCTGTCAGCTCTGATCACATTCACCAGCACACAGGCATTAGACTCTATTTCACAAGAGGAAAAGATGGCCAGAGTTTTCCTGACAGAAGTATCATAGATTTTTTTCAGTCAGTCAAAATTACAGAGAGAGGGCTCATTGTCGATGCATTTCCCATAGATAATGAGGACTGCAAATTACCAGGCAAGGATCTTTTTTTGGTACACAGAACAAAAAAACAAGCACGATCTGCAGAACTTAGGAACTAATTGGGTTTCAAACCCCTTTCTTAGCATGCTGCCGACACGGTCAGAGTAACCTATACGCTGATCTTATTCCAAAGGCACAGTAATCTTTATGCTGCAAGAATTAAGAGTTTAGCGTGCCGGAGCATACACTGCAAGAAAAAAAAAAGAAGCCTTTAGGAAAGGCATGTGCTGAACACACACAAAATATGCAGGATGGAAAAAGACCAAATGTAGTTAAAGCTTATATGAAACCAGACATTCCTATTTGCAGAGCTCTGGCTGCATTTCTATGAGAAAGAATGCACAGAATTTCAAATCATGCTCTAATTAGACAATGTCAGAAGAAAAACACATTCTTCCCCCCCCCCCCCCATCCTTCCATCCACCGCACTCTCCCACCCCAAGACTCCAAAAGGCAAATCTCATCATCAGAATTAGAGAGAAAAAGCAATCCAAAGATGCTGCTTTACATATTCCTTCCCAAACCAAGAAACCGAGTATCTCCCTCTCCCGGCTAATAGCTTATAAATTCAGTCTTTAAACAAAAGCAGGAAAAAAATGAAAAGAATCCTATTTCTCAAGCTTCCTACTTAGCACTGCCTCGCTTTTGATGATTTGTGCGCCTGTGTGTGCGTGCCTGTTTGAGAAATGGCGAGATAGGCTTAAAGTATTTTCCATTTCATCAAAGAGCATATATTACTTTCCTGGTTCGCTCCAGTGTTGGTTTTATGCCCACCCCTTTTCAATCTGCCCATGTCTGAGATGCACAGTGCAGGCGTACAATCATGAGCAGCTTACGACACTCAGTGAACACTAGGTGCCTCTGCATGCTCTAGCAACATACTGCTCAGCTGAAGGGAAGGGATTCTTGCTGTCTCTCTCTGCTCTAAGCATCACCTAACAAGCAAAGCGAACAAAGAATGGGAAATAAAGCTACCCTTAGCCGGTCAGTGAATGAATGGTAATCTCTCTATGGAGTAAAGGTTGTGCCGGTCAATGGTCGTTGCAAATGATGGACATTAAACAGATTGACAAATCCTGTGGAGTCGTTAGTACAGAGTTTGGAGTTTTTTTCACGCCACAGTGTTAACTGCAGAGAAAAGGACAGAGGGAGAAGGAGAAGATCAAGCTCATGTACATAGTTCTGAAACTTGCAGGTCCTAGGAGTCAGCTAAAAAGCTAGCTGGACAAGCCTTTCGCTCTTTGAGCAGAAGCAAAGTGAGACATTGTGAGCTTGCCAGCCTTGCACAAAATTGAAAGGGACTGAATTTGTAGCACAGAGGGGTCTTTTTTAGCTCTGCATATAATTAGTCCAAACACAAAGGAAGCAACTGAATGGAGGTTGTCACTCTCTGGAAAAGGGTGGGTAAGACACTTTTTAATTAAATTCTTTCATGAAGAAAGATTTTTTTTTTCCTTTGCCGCAGCATTTAACATAAACAAAATCACTATCATTTTACCTTTGAATGTCTGTGAACTTTAATGCTGCACAGCTCCTGCATGCTGTAAAGTGAAATATTTGCCTCTGTGTTTGCTCTGTTTGCTGTTTTGCTTTGGTTTTCTGCCTCGGTTTTGGGTTTTTGGGGGTCTGGGTTTGTATTTTTTATTTTTGTCTTTTTCTTCTTTCTTTTTTTTTTTTTTTCCTTAAATAAAATATGATGTAGAATTTGAAAAAGATTCAATGGACATTCTCAAGCATATTTGGAAATATCCTTGCTAATGGATTTCCTTCTTATTGGTCTCTGTTTAAACTGGCTGCTGAGGAAGCCCCCGGGGTTGATATTGTGTACGCTGGGTATCTTTTCTAAAATGCTTCCAGCTGTGAATAGTGGGTGTCCACAGCTATGTCGGTGTGAGGGCAGGCTTTTGTACTGTGAATCACTGAATCTTACAGAGATGCCTCGCAACCTGTCGGGCATGATGGGCTTGTCTCTGCGGTACAACAGCCTTTCAGAGCTGCATGATGGACAGTTCACAGGGTTAATGCAGCTCACGTGGCTCTATCTGGATCACAATCACATTTGCTCAGTGGAGGGGAATGCCTTTCAAAAATTGCGGCGAGTTAAAGAGCTCACCCTGAGTTCCAACAAAATAACCCAACTGCCCAACACCACTTTCCGACCCATGCCAAACTTGCGCAGTGTGGATTTATCATACAACAACCTACAGTCTTTGGAGCCTGACCTGTTTTACGGGCTGAGAAAACTCACAACTTTGCACATGCGGTCGAACGCCATCAAGTTTGTGCCAGTGAGAATTTTTCAGGACTGTCGCAGCCTGAAGTTTCTAGACATAGGATACAATCAGTTAAAGAGCCTGGCTCGAAACTCTTTTGCGGGCTTGTTCAAACTCACTGAGCTGCACCTCGAGCACAATGACTTGGTGAAAGTCAATTTAGCCCATTTTCCCAGGCTCATCTCCCTGCAGTCTCTCTGCCTGCGAAGGAATAAAGTTACCATTGTAGTAAACACTTTGGACTGGATATGGCAACTCGAGAAACTGGATCTCTCCGGCAACGAAATCGAATACATCGAACCTCACGTTTTCGAAAGTGTACCTCACCTCAAATCCCTGCAGCTGGACTCCAACCGGCTGACCTACATCGACTCCCGAGTCCTCGACTCCTGGAAGTCCCTCACTAGCATCAGCCTTTCTGCAAACGCTTGGGATTGCAGCCGTAACGTTTGTGCCCTGGCCTCCTGGCTGAGCACCTTCAAGGGTCGCTACGACAGCAACCTGCTTTGTGCCACCCCTGAGTATGCACAGGGTGAGGATGTTTTGGACGCGGTCTACGCCTTCCACTTGTGTGAAGACACAACAGACCCGACGAGTGCGAACACCCTCTCCCCGGTAACAAACAACAGCGACCAAACGTTCAGCTATGGCTCGGCCACCGCCACGTACGACGTGCAGGACGGCGACGAGGACTGGACAACATACGCCATCACCGTCACCATGCCCGGCGAGAACTCGGAGAACGCCGTTCAGATTCATAAGGTGGTGACGGGGACCATGGCCCTGATTTTTTCCTTCCTCATCGTGGTTTTGGTGTTGTACGTCTCCTGGAAGTGCTTTCCAGCCAGCTTAAGGCAACTAAGACAGTGCTTTATAACACAGCGCAGAAAGCAGAAGCAAAAACAGACCATGCATCAAATGGCTGCCATGTCAGCCCAGGAGTATTACGTTGATTACAAACCCAACCACATTGAGGGAGCCCTGGTGATCATTAATGAGTATGGATCTTGTTCCTGTCACCAGCAGCCAGCGAGGGAATGTGAGGTGTGATTTTCCTTGGGGATTTAAACAGTGTGCAACCAAATAACAGCGTGCAGGCAGACGGTGGCACGAGGTGGGGGGGGGGGTGGGTGGGTTGCTGTGCTTGGCTGGTGATTTCTGATGTGCTCCTCTGCCGAAATTGTTAAGAGGGGCTGTCTAAAAGACTTGATATTTTAGCTTTATCTTGTCTTAAAAACCTTCAGGACAGTCAATCTTAAGATTTCATATGCTAATAACTCCCTTTGAAGATCTGTCAATATTCAGGAATCTGAGAGTGTAAAAAGGTACCAATTATTGATCTTTTGTAAACTAAGAAAACTGTTTAAAATAAAAACAAATAGCATTTACAGTTTTTACAGACTGGTGTATATTACATGACTTGTTCCCTGTATACAAAAATGCAACAGTTTAACCTCTTTTTCTCTTCATTCTGAGCGTTGAAATGAAAGTCTGGGAGCAAAGAAGCCACGTAAAATAGAAAGCTTAAAATTAACCAGATGGCTTCACACTGTAATTAGCACACGTTCACTTACATCATGTTACTGAAGATATGAAGCATGATACTGGAATTATATTTTTGTTAATGTGCTACCTGTAACTGGATGTCAGTACAACAAGGAGCCAATGCACCTCAGAAAGGCTAAAGTTTTGACTGTCTCCCTGGGACAGGATTTCTGAGGATTTTTAAGTACAGCTCACTTGTTCGTTGCTGTAAGATCCATAAAAACTTCATCCTAACCCCTGAAAGTATTTTGTATCAAAACTGATTATATTGCAAAGTCTCACTAAAATAAAACATCCAACTAGACCCAAAATGACCAAATCACTGCCAGAATGTCCTCAGCATAATTTCCTTTAAAGTAAAAAGGACAAAAAACTTCTAAATTCAAGGGTTTTTACTAGCATTTTCCACTTCTATGCTTGTTTTGACATATGCTAAGAGTAAAGAAACCCTTGCTTTGTGCACTGTGGTGCCATGGTGAATGGAGAAGAGGAAAAGCTATTTGGTTCTCAGTGGTGAAACCTATGTGTCTTTCAGGAGTAAAAGCTTGGCTCTAACACTGTCAGAGTAAGACAGAGTTATTAGAGCATACTTCTGGGTCCTATAGTAAACTGCTAGCAAAGCCTATGTCGTGTCCTTCATTTTCACCATCAGCCTTCACTAACAAAACCACTCTAAAATCTCTGCAGAGGGTGAAAGTATACGAAACCTCCTTACTAATGACTGATGAATGGAACTGATGGATATAAGCAGTGATTTAATAATGTGGAATCACAGAGCTGTTTTATCTGACTGCCCTTAAATAAAGCCTTCCTTTCCTTGTATTTTGGATTTTTCATTCCAATATGTGAACAACCTACTGATTGATCTTTTCAACAACTCCTCTCATACTAATGAAGACGAGGTAGTTTTATAACATGAGGCAGAGCATCTTGAAATTTTCTTCATACAGCATGACATGCTAATAAATTGTTATGGGTAATGCATTGGGTAACATTTCTATGCTTTGTACATATTTTTGTATCTTTAGGTTACCACCAGTAGAGGAAAAATCAGAAATCTAACATGTATTTTCATTTATTACAGGTTTTTTCTTTTTCATAGCATCAAAGTGCCACCTACTCTTAAAAGGCTACAGCAGACTTAGAAAGCAGAAAATAGGCACAGAATAAATGATTTCTTTTCCCTGCACAGCAGGTTTTAGCCATCAGCTTTGAATGTAAAGAGTGAATTTCATATTTTTTTCTGACTGACACTATATTTAAGGAGTCAGAATTTATTTTCCCCTATTTTTACATCTCAACTTGTTTAATATTAAATATGACCATAGCCTCTTAAGCAAAATATGTAGTTACGGAGACTATACTGTCATCTGTGAAAGCAATGAGATTATGTATTGGGAGAGGACCTTTACATAGAAAATGCAATGCAAATCAAGTGCTTTTATACTAAAGGCAGTGAAAATTCACCCACAGCTTTGAAACAAGCTGGCACTGGTAAAATTAGGCTTTTGTCTCTTTAAACAAATGCATATTTCTGATTTTATGCCTCAAACCCACAAAGGCCTGATGTATCCTGAAACTCCCAAGTGGTACGAGGGCTTGAGTGTCCATGTACAAACTTGCCAGTGAGGACAGAGACTAGACACAGAGCCCCTTGTCTCTTTGGGGGGTGCTTTCATATTTTAAGAGAAAATACTTTACACCATGTTAACTGAGGGCCAAACTATATGTATTTTTGCCATTAAACCCTTCTCTGAAATCAATAGGGAATTTAACTGTGAAAAATTGGCTCTCTAACTTTGGACTACATGTTCTTCAAATCAACATGCAGCACTGCAGCCCGAAGCACTGGTTACAGCTAGTTGCCAGGAAGCTTGCAAAACCATCTGAGATTGTTAAAATATTGTCTGCCTATGGTAATAAAAATATATGTATTATCTTTACTTCCATACTGACCCCCTGTTGCTATAAGGAATCATGGTTTTACCCTGTAAATCTGATGTAAAACTGATACTAACAAACAATCATCCCATGGTTGTATTTCTATGTATTTTTAGCAGATTTGTGGGTTGTATTTTAAACACACTAGTGATTGCACCCCTCTGGAATTATTCCTGCTGTTTATTGGTGTTAGCAACCTCAAGCTACATTTGCAAAGACGTGAGCAATTCCATCTTTGGAATTTATTCTCCTCTGTGCTTCATGCATCTTGCATTGACAGCTCAAGTAAACTGAACAGCACATTTTTCTTTAAAGGTGCAGTGATTTCTTAAATGAGAGCTGATTTTGGTATTGCCTGTTGCCATTTCTCCTGAAGAGAAGTAATGACCACCGATGACTTGCCACCCTTAGCAGGATGATGGACGGATCCTCCACACAGAGCACAGAACTTATTTAACTTCAGAAACCCATGTATTTCAAAATCCTCATGCAGAAATCTTTTCTAAGGGTAGGTATCATACAGAGACAACCCACTCATGATCTCTAGAGGATATCTGGAGACCATGATACCCTCTGAATATTTACCGGTGGAAAAGAAGGGTGTCACTGCTACCACATGGCATGAAGGTATTCCACACTGTATCCACATCTAGTCTGAAAGCTTACATGAAATACATGTGGATAATAAAGAAATGAAAGAGCAAGTATTTAATTTCAACCCAGATATTGCAAATCCAGTTAGTCATCCTGCTCCAGGCTGCTTACATTGGTATATATGAGAGTTATTATATTTGTATTGCATTTATAGCAACTGCAGGGGCAAATTTTCCCTAACTCATTCTTCCACATTTCGTGCTCATCACCTGCCCAGAGATATGTCATTCCCTCTATTTTGATGCCCTTATTCTGGTTTATGAAATGGCTCCAAAATCAAAAGGAAGAAGAAAAAAGATGCTTTTGGGGTTAGTTGTGACAGTGTTTTGTTCAGGAGATGCTTGGGGAATATCAAAGGATGGAAAATATGTTAAATATTCCCCTTTTAATGTTCCACTTAATAGGACTAATCTCCCTTTTATAACTGGGTAATTAACATGATTTTCTTTATGTTCAAGTGTCTTTTAACATAGAAGGGAGAGTGAAAGGCAAGCAAAAGAACTACTTTTTTTTTTGAGGATGGTTAACACTAGCAGTGATATAGATCTCTAATATGCAATCTCTTGCTGCTAACATCAATACACACTCACAGTGTGCCCTGTGATGAAGGAACTGTTGCTGTGTATGCTTTGGATGTATATAAGGGATGATTTATTTTCCTTTCTGTCTTTTTTCCTTCCTTTCTGTACTACTTTAAAAAAGAGAAAAGTGATATGAAAGCACAGGTTCAATGCTAACGTACCACATTCTGTTTCTGGTCTGAATATGTAAAATACAAAGAAATTCTGTGTTAAAGCTGCAAATTCCCTCCTTTACCATGCTGTTTGAGTACTGCAGAGGGTTAGACTAAGGGTACGACTTGTTCCTCCATGTGCACAGCAATAATGCACCAGTCTGAAGATGCAGTTGCACGCCTGGTCCATAACTGCCTTGCATACGTCTGCCAGAGAAACATCATTAAGGATACCTAAGGATATTTTTGTATGCTTTAATATATTCTGTATGTTTTTACTGCTAAGGCATTGGAGGGCATTTAAAATGAGTGTCTGATCATTTTCCTTGGTTCTGATAAAAAGCCCCTCATTTGCTTTTGAGATGGACTCAATTTGTTCCTTGTCTGTGTCTCATTCTGCATTAATAGCAAAAGGACACTTTGAATAGCCCTCCCCTTCCCCCAGCTTCTCCAGTGGTATTCAGAATGGCAAATATCTAGGACTATTTAATCGGGAAGCTTATTTCTAGTGCTATAATGATAATAACAGTAATAACAATAAGAGAAATAAAGAGGAGACAAAAGATGAGAGAAAAGACTGGGTTAACAGCAACTAGATTGGGTTTTTACTGGATTCCTTTTCTTGTTTAAAGCTGGTGAATCTAAAGGACTAGCACTGATGAAAAACGCAGGACTGAAGGTGGTGCAGAAAGCATCTTTAAAAACTTTGCAGGCAGGGATGAAACAGCTTCTGGACAGGAAGGTACGGTACCAAATAGCTTCATTAAGCAAGAAAGAGAAAAGGAAAGGGGTGAAGGGACAGGATGAAAGGGAAGATGAGAGCTGGTGAGAAGGCAAGGGGACCACTGTGCACAAAGGGAAAATGAGATTCCTTCCAGTGTCTTCACTTCCCATGTTAAGACTGTGGCAAGGACAACAGCAGAGATTCAAGCCAGATACCCAGCATCTCTCTTTCCCTATCTCTCCCTGTCTTTTCAAAGTCAGTCACACACAGACTCTCATTGACAGAGGCGCAGGGGGACATGCTTTCCCAAACACGCACGCACGTAGCCCCGTCATTTCCTCTGCCACCTTTCTGCTCCCTGGGAGCACAATGTCCCCCTCATCCATCATTACGTTTGCTGAAGTCCAGCACTGTTCCTCTTCCATTAATTTTTTTGGCTGGACTTCTTAGCTCTGCTAGTCACATTTCATCACAGACTTTCCAGAAAATCAGACTTTTCTACCCAAAATAACTCGTCTTTTTTTTTAACCCCATTGCTTAAGAAACCGTCATCTAGAGGGAAGAGTGATCTCAAGCTACAGCAGATTCTCCTGCTAATTATATCCACCTTCATTCCCCCTCATATTCAGCTTTTGTATTCACAGCTATTAAGACAAACAGATCTATTTTTGCTGTGTTCAATTTATCATTATGCACCAAGGTTATATTTTGCCTTGACCTGCTCAACCCACTGTAATATTAACAAATTGAGCATTTATGTGGGTTCCTTTCCAAGCATGAAGTTGATTAGGAATTTAGGAAATGCTGGTGATTTAAAGATTAACCTTTCATGTAATTACTGACATAAACCAGAGCTATTAAGGTATTAGAAACAACTACTCAGAGTATATTCTACATAAAAGAATATCACATTTAGAGCCATGTGAAAGACTTCCCATACTAGCCAATTATTTTTTTGACAGCAGAAAAACCTGATGAAAGGAAAGGAGCGAGCACAGTCTACCTCTAAGCTTATGTGGAGGAAAGCAAGGCTACAAAAATATTACAGAAACCAAGCAACAATCTTTTGCTGGCAAGACACAACTTGTAATTGGGTGGGTGGCTGTGAAGATCTGAGATGAATGCTGCAGAGCACTGTAATTTTATTGCAGTGTGTCTGCTTTAAAGGGAACATATTTCCAATGAAATCTGTATTTCCGTGAGAACAGGGCAATTGTTTTTTGTTATAAAGATAACGTCACTTGTTGGCATTCAGACACAATTATTCAGCCTTTAAAGCAATTACTGTTCCTACTTGCCTTTGCTGGTGTGATAGTTGGGTGAGAGAGTCAGATGTAACAGGCTGCATTGAAAGGAGTTTGAGTTCAAAGTACCCAGATTTGCATTACAAGAGAAGAAATTCAGTTAAAAATAAAGACCAGCTTTTCACCTTTGCCTCCATTTCCCCTCTTCCTGACAATCCAAACATGAACATCACTTATAGAAATTAGGGATAATTGGCAGTGGCTAAAGGATAAGGTTATGTGTGCCTGTGCTTGGCAAACAGCACCTACTATTCTGCTAAGGCACTTTTTATTTTAAACCATTCCACTGCTCTCATGTTCCTCACATCCTCACCAGACACAGTAACCTCTGCCAGAATCTGTCTTTCAACAAGGGTGCTGTGGGAACATGACCAATTCGGTCCCATTTCTGAGCTAACAAAGACTAAATACAAGATTTCAATGGTAATAGGTAAGTACAAAAACTGCTTAATCCCTGAATCCCCAC